CCCCCGCAGGCTCCACCCACACCGCTTTCCCTTCATTTCCTCAAACCCCCTAAACTCTTTCCGCCCCAATCTATCCCTGTACAAGCTGTGCCTTCATCTAGGATATCCCTCGTCTTCATTTCCTCAAACCCCCTAAACTCTTTCTGCCCCAATCTATCCCTGTACAAGCTGTGCCTTCACCTAGGATGACTCTCCTTGTGGCTGGCCCCTCCTCATCCTTGGGGGCTTACCTTTAAAGTCTCTTTTCCTGAAAGATTTCCCATGCCCGGCTGTTGTAATTTCAGCCCCTCGGTGTGTTTCCTAAAACTTTTACCATCATTTTAAATATTTTTGTCGTTTTATTTGGCTTATGTCTGTTTCTCCCACGGAAATGCAAGCTTGTGTGAGCGGAGACTGGGCCCGTCTGGTTCCCTGCATCCCCAGCACCCAGCAGCACCCAGCACTGGCCTGGCACACGGCAATTATTTAGTGGGTGAATGGGTGAAGATAACTCCTGGGTGATCATAGAAGATGGAACCACTTTGGTTGTCCACTTCAGTCAGTAGGAATGACACGTTTCACCAACTGTTTCTCAGATTCATTTCTTAGTACTTTTAGGAGTCTTTCGGGTGGGGCAGGTGGCTCTGAGCTGGGGCGGAGAAGGACAAAGGAGAGCCAAGAAATGTGGCTCTACCCCTGGCTTTAGGGCATTCATTTGTTCATTCGTTGGGCGCCTGCTGTATGCTCTCGGTCTGAGGAGAGGCAGATGCCCCACGTAGGGTCCTGCACACTGCGAAGTGAGCCTGCGAGACGTAGGCGGAGCCCAGGCAGCTGGCAGTGAGCGCACGTGCCTGGAGCTTCTTCGCGGGTCTCAGGCCTATGGCTCCAGCTTTGACTGAAGGCCTCACCTGCCCCCTTAGCCCCCCGCAACCCACCAGAAGGGTACGGTCCCTGGATGGGCCTCCCCAGAGGGGTAGTGATGGGCAAGGAATAGATCCTCCAGTTAAAAAACAAGTTATAATAATGATTCTAAAGGCAAACACCGACTATGCTTACGTGGCCCAGGCTCTAAGCACTTGGCCTGTGTTAACTCACAAACTCTCCCAACAACCCTATGAGGAGGTATTGACGGAGTAAGGATGAGGCCACAGGAGGACACTCAGCACACACGTGTCCCAAAAGTCATGCCCCCAATGACAGGCCTGGAGGGTTTAAACTGCAAGGATTTGAGGCGGACATATGGAAGCACTTCCTGATGACAGGGACTGAGAATATAAAATACCTCCCCTTTCAGAGCAGACGCTTGTCTGGGACACACTGGGATGGTTTGTGGGGCAAGGGAGGAGGGGACACCAGATGACCTCACTCATTCAAATGTACCGAGTGCCTTACCCTGCCAGGCGCTGATCTCAGTCTGGTGGAGGGGACAGATGGGGTGAGAGCATTCAGTGCCATGTGTGCCCAGCGCTGGAATGTCTGAGGACAGGGAGGGCAGCTAGGCCTGCAGGGGTGGGGGCATCCAAGGAGGGTGTCCTGGTGTCACTTGAACCCAACATGCGCAGTGTGGGGGGTCGGTGGAAACCCCGAAGGCCCAGAGGCGCTGGCCGAGCACCCTGACTGGGCACTCTGGCCCTCCCCCAGCGTGACTTGCGTGACTAGTGCTGCCGGGGACCCTCCAACGTCAGCGCGGCCTGCGCACAAGCCGTCATTTCCGGTGGGCTGGGCTGGGGGAATGGGATGTGTCGCCAGGGTCCCGAGGCCGCCCCGCGGGGAGGGCGTTTGCACCATTTCATCCGGCTCCGAGCGCCTCCGGGGGTTAGTATTTGTGCTCTGGTCTCGCCTTCAGGACTGGGGCTTGCATTCCCGGGGGTAGCTCGGGCGGGAACTGGGGGCGTGCTTCTGGCCCCCGGAGTGTGAAACCGACCTCAGGAGAATATAATGCCCAAGGCTTGAGGGACATCCGTCCATCACCGCGGTGTCTTGATGCCACCGGCGAGGAAGACCATGAAATAGGTCTACCTGACACACGAACGAGGCGCCAGGCTCTGGGGGTTCCCGAGGTCGGGTTGTTTATACATCCCACCTGCGGGCCCAGCTGTCTATCCTGCTGAGAGTTTGAAAAGGCCTGAAATAGATCCCAGGGCTTGTGGGCTGGTAGCTCTGGGAGGCTAATTCCTTTCTTCAAAGGCAGATCTAATTTTCCTCGTCATGGAATAGTTTAGAAAATACCAAATCTGCCCTGATGGCAGGGAGCCCAGGTTTTAACGAAGCAAATCCGGTAGAGGGCGTGGCTAGTGTGGTAAAGGCCAAAGGCTGAGAGATGAGCTGGATGATTTCAAACATGAGGGTCATCTAAGTCATCACTGAAAACATTTTTAGCTCCAGGCAGTGAAGGTGAATCCTCAGGTTGCGGGTGCTTGCCATTGCTCTGGAGACTTCTTACGCTCCCTTGGGACAGCCCTGGCTCCTATAGTTACATGACTACGGAGCTGCAGAATGACAAATGAACAAATGTGGAGGGGACCTTGGTGCGCTTGGGGTCCTGACCAGGTCCCTCTGGAACTTAGGCCCCTAACCTGCTCGTCCCTTAGAATTATTTTATCCCCATCTTGATAAATAGCATCACCACCACCAAGTTACTGGACCCAGAAGTTTAAGGCGTCACTCCAGTGCTTCAGTCAATTCATCTGCACATCTTAGTTCTATACCCAAAATATTTTTCATCTTGCTCCATCTCCACTGCTACCAGCCTTGCCCATTCCACCACCACCTCCCCTCTATAGCAGAAGCCTCCAAAACGAAAAGCTTTTTATCGGTTCTCTTTGTCTACTTGGGGAACAAAAATCCCAGCTCCTTCCCATGGCCCTAACTCCAATTTCATCACTCAACTCCAGCGACGCTGGGCTTCCCTCGGTTCCTAATATAGGTCAAGCTCTTTCTACCTTAGGGCCTTTGACCTTGCTGTCTCCTCTGCCTGGAACACTCTTCCCCAGAGGCTGGTATGGCTGGCACCATCTCCTCCTTCAGGTATTAATCCTTCTGAGGGAGGCGTTTCCTGAACGCTGAATCTAAATCTTCCCCCAAAATTGTGTCGCGGAACCCTGTTAATTTTCTTCATAATACAGGTTGTGCGTTGTAATAATTTAGTTATTTATCTCCACTAGAATGAAAGCTACACAAAGGCAGAAGCTGTCTGTTCTGGGTAGTAAAATGTCTGTGCCTGGATAGTAAACTATTTTATTGAAGTATAACATATATTCAAAGAAGTATACACATCATAAGTGTATAGGTCAATGATTTTTATGGATGAATACATCTATGTAACCAGCACCCAGATCAGGAAATAAAACACTGCCAGCCCCTCAGAGTTCCCTACATGAGTCCTCAGGGCCAAACGCTATCCCGATTAGATTCATTTTTGCCAGTTTTAAACTTTATGTAAATGGATTCACGATCCCCATAGTTGTTCACATCCTAATCCCCAGAATCTTCGAATATGTTGCTTTCCAGATGTGATTAAGTGAAGGACCTTGAGATGGGGAGATTACACTGGAGGTTGGCCCAGTGTAATCCCAAGGGTCTTGAATAGTGGAGAGAGAGATGAAAGAGGTCAGAGTAATGCAGTGTGAGAAGGACTCAACCTGCTATTGATGACTTTGAAGATGGAGGAAGGGATAACGGGCCATGGATTGGATAGGTCCTTGGCCCAGGGGTTGGGGACCCCTGCTATATTGTACACTTAAAAGTTTATTAAAAGAGTAGATCTCATGCTAAGTGTTCTTGCTACAAGAAAATAAAATGTCATTTTAAAGGCAAAATAATATTTAAAAATTTACGCTTTCTACTTTTTGTAATATCCTGCCATTTAATAAATCTTACTGAAGTTGTATTTCATCCTTAGGAAAAAAAAAAAAAAGATGGAGGAAGGGAATGAGCCAAGGAGTGGGGGCCACCTCTCAAAAGTGGAAGAAGTAAGGAAACAGACTTCCTGGAGCCTCCAGAGGGAACTCAGCCCTGTTGACACCTAGATTCAGCCATCGAGACCATGTCTGACTTCTAATTTACAGAACCGTAAGAAAGTAAATTTGTGTTATTTCAAGCTGCTAAATTTGGGGGTAATTTGTTACAGAAACAATAGGAAACTAATACAAGTATTTACTCTTTGTGTCTGGCGTCTTTCTCACAACATTTTGTTTGTGCTCTATAATATTCCATCACAAGAATACACCACATTTTATTCATTGACTATTTTTACTTATTTCTAGTTTGGACTATTATCAATAGTGCTGCTGTGAACATTTTTGGACATGTCCTTGAGTTAACATATGTACATATTTCTGTTGCACATATACAGGAACAGAATGGCTGGGTTATAGGATATGCGTATATAATGGATGCTGTGACGCATCCCCCAGACTTCCCTTCAGGACTGAAGGACCTGTTCCCCCAACCTGGTAGGAGGCTGCTGGCTGACAGTCCTCGCTGTCAGCCTCTCTGAGAAGAGAGAAGCTGAAAAGAGTTCCTTTGCCCAAGATCACACTCACTTCCCAAGGACAGCCTGCATCCATTCAATGGCTGGTTGACATATGCGTGTACATGGGGGGGGCGGTATATAAAGACCTTCTCCCCACTGCCGCCTGGAATAACTTTGAAGGGTCACCCCCGATTCAGAGTTCTCCAGGAATCAGGGGAGGCTTTGTCGAGGTCACATCTCAACCAAACTTTTCCCTCTTCCAACTCTGCTTCCTTCTCTTCCCCTGCAGACATTGATCCTTCTAAAGGAGTTGAACACTTTGTCACATGTTTATTGGGTCATTTTAGTCACTCGTGAAGTGTCTAGTCAAGACTTTCACCTATTTTTCTACTGGATTGTCTTTCTCTTTCTTGTGGCTTTGTGGGTGTTCTTCCTATATTCTGGACACAAGTCCTTTGTTGGATATATTTGTCACATATGTTCAGAGTTGGATATCCTCGGGGTGCTTCAACAGTACCAGTACATGGTGGGTCCTAATAAAGATCATGAAGGCTTGAGTTTGAAAACTCCTTTAAGGACAGAATGCTTGACTAGGTGAAACTATGTTTGATTTTAGTGGGTATAATTGGATATAGGATATGATCCCAAGGAGAGAGAAACAGGACCTTAAAGGGAAAGGCCCAGATGCAGGTAACACACCCTTAGACTTCGTCACTCCTAGCCTGAGGTTTGTAGCTACAAGCACTGAAACACTGCATGCACCTCTTAAAGGTATTTGTAAATGAATACAGTCATTCATTCAGAGTGTCCACGGAAGGTATCAATACGTCAGCCTGTTCTAGGCACTGTGAACAAGAGACAAGATCCTTGCTTTCAGGATACCTAGAAGGAGAGAAACACAACAGGTAAACAAAATAAAATAATGTCCACACAGTGAGCCCTAAACTGAAGGAGCCCAGCGTGGAGGAAACTGTGAGTTGGGGGTGGGGGGAGCGTTGATCCAAGCAGCAGCCAGACCAAGGCGCACAGGAGGTCCCGCCCTCGGCCCCGCCTCCAGCTATGCATGCGTCTCCTGATTGGCCGGCGGCCGTCAGCCCCACCCCGCGGAGCGGACCGCTCGGGAAGCGCGGGGCGGGCCCAGCCAGGGTGCAG